ATACGGATCATACGGTTCATACGGTTCATACGGTTCATACGGATCATACGGATCATACGGATCATACGGTTCCTACGGTTCCTACGGTTCCTACGGTTCCTACGGTTCCTACGGTTCCTACGGTTCCTACGGATCCTACGGTTCCTACGGTTCCTACGGTTCATACGGTTCATACGGATCCTACGGATCATACGGTTCATACGCTTCTCGGGTTCGTGGGCCCTGCCGCGTTAATGGGTCGGTAAAAGCGGTTTTCCCGATCAATTGTTCATATTAATATTCATTGATGAATCGTGAGTTATTTTATTCATTATCTCCAATTAATTTATTACTTAATAAGTTTTAATAACGATTAATTAAAATATTTAGAATTATATTTATTTATACTACGTGTATATAAATAATTACTTACTTATTTGTACGTGTATATAAACAAAATAAACGAACCCTTGCATATCAAGAAAACGAAATAACGAGAAAAGTTTAAAGAAAACGATAAATGTTTAATCAAGGATAAAAGATTAAGGATAATAAGGATTAATGAAAACATTAAAGAGAGAAAAATTTCCATAGATCACTATCATATGTGTGTTAATATGATTTTATGATTTTTTATTGAAGTATCATGCCTTTAAAATGAGGTTTAATAATTAATAAGCATTAATTTTTTAATTAGAGTTAAGTTTAATAATTAAATATATTAATTTTTTACATTGAAATTAAGTTTAGTAATTAAGTAAATATTAATATATTAAATTCATTAATTTTTTAATTAAGTTTATGTTTAATCATTAATTAAATATTAATTAATTGATTTTTAAATTAAATTTAAGATTTATAATTAATTAAATATTAATTAATTAATTTTATTACTTTTTTAATTAAGTTTAAGTTTAATCCTCATTTACATATTGATTTTTCAATGTTTTGTGTACAATTAGGCATTTTTCAGCAAAAAATAAAGGAAAAAGAAATTGAAATAAAAATTTATACCTTTTCGGGCCAAAATGTCGCTACTCCGAGATTCAGTGTATATGTTTTTTTATCTACTATAGGGGGGGAGTGCTCCTCGACGGGTGGGCACGGGCAGAGTTGCGCCGCGGCATGGGGCGCTTCTCAGCGTGGGTTCCGCGTGGGTTCCCATGCCACGGAGTTGGATATTTTCGCCGCGTGGGTTTCGGTGGGTTGGTTATCCTCTCCTTCGGTTCGGTTGGTTGGAATGCCGCGGTTTCCAGGTTGGGTGGGCACGAGTAGTTGCCCCGCGGCATAGGGCACTACTCAATGTGGGTTTCGGTTTTCGGCCGTGGTTCTCTGGTCCACGGCGTTGGTCTTTCTGCTGCATGGGTTTCGGCATGGTCGCCGTTTGCGCTAGCCGGTTTCGGTTGTGTGCAATGGCGTGGCATGAGTAGTAGCGCTACTCAATGTGGGTTTCGGTTTCCTTGCGTGGCCCTCCGGTCCACGGCGTTGGTCTCTCCGTCGCTTGGGTTTCGGTAAGGTCGCCGTTTGAACTAGTCGGTTTCGGCCGGTTGCAATGGCGTGGCATGAGTAGTTGTACTGCTCGATGTGGGTTTCGGTTTTCGGCCGTGGTTCTCCGGTCCACGGCGTTGGTCTTTCCGCTGCTTGGGTTTCGGTATGGTCGCCTCTTGCACTAGTCGGTTTCGGTTGGTTGCAATGGCGCGGCATGAGTAGTTGCACTACTCGATGTGGGTTTCGGTTTCTTTGCGTGGCTCTCCGGTCCACGGCGTTGGTCTCTCCGTTGCTTGGGTTTCGGTAAGGTCGCCATTTGCACTAGTCGGTTTCGGTCGGTTGCAATGGCGTGGCACGAGCAGTTGTACTGCTCTATGTGGGTTTCGGTTTTCGGTCGTGGTTCTCCGGTCCACGGCGTTGGTCCCTTCCGCTGCTTGGGTTTCGGTATGGTCGCCTTTTGCACTAGTCGGTTTCGGTCGGTTGCAATGGCGCGGCATGAGTAGTTGCACTACTCGATGTGGGTTTCGGTTTCTTTGCGTGGCTCTCCGGTCCACGGCGTTGGTCTCTCCGTTGCTTGGGTTTCGGTAAGGTCGCCATTTGCACTAGTCGGTTTCGGTCGGTTGCAATGGCGTGGCACGAGCAGTTGTACTGCTCTATGTGGGTTTCGGTTTTCGGTCGTGGTTCTCCGGTCCACGGCGTTGGTCTTTCGCTGCCCGGGTTTCAGCATGGTCGCCGTATGCACTAGTCGGTTTCGGTCGGTTGCAACGGCGTGGCACGAGTAGTTGCTTTACTCTATGTGGTTTCGGTCTCCTCTCGTTGGCGATGCGACTAGTGGGTTTATTTCGGTCTTTTCCCTTTCGCACTTATTGATGCGAGTGTCATGGCGTTCAACTTGCGGTGGTGGACTATATGCTTGGAGCGATTCCAACCGTGTGGTCTGTTGGTGTAAGTTGTGTTGCACTTGATGTTTGCGATGCAAGACGGTGCGTGAGTTGTCTCCGGCATTTGTGGTTAAGATGGATCATTGCCGTAGCAATGACGTCTTGCCGCCTTGCCTTCTCAGTGTCGATTGCCTCGGTGCTGCTGGGGCCGATTTTCCATGGTTTCCGGTGTCGAATACCGCTGCGGGTGGCATTTTGCATGTTAACTCTCGATTTCCGTCCTGTGCTCGTCCTCGTTTGTATGCGAGGGTGTGCGTGGGATGGACGCCAAACGCCTACTTGTGCTCGGTGCAACCCTTGGTTGCGATCTGGGCATACGAGTAGTTGTGCATGGCTCTTGGATTTGGTATAAGCACGGGGCATTGGAATTCATCTTCTTCTTTCCCCGTGTGCCAATGTGGCACGCTAGTCCTACGCATGACTGCTTTGTTGCATTGAGTGTTCTTTCGTCGCTCGTGCTCGGGGCATCATTTAGGAATGTTACCTGGTTGATCCTGCCAGTAGTCATATGCTTGTCTCAAAGATTAAGCCATGCATGTGTAAGTATGAACTAATTTAGACTGTGAAACTGCGAATGGCTCATTAAATCAGTTATAGTTTGTTTGATGGTACCTACTACTTGGATAACCGTAGTAATTCTAGAGCTAATACGTGCAACAAACCCCGACTTCTGGAAGGGATGCATTTATTAGATAAAAGGTCGACGCGGGCTCTTGCCCGTTGCTGCGATGATTCATGATAACTTGACGGATCGCATGGCCATAGTGCCGGCGACGCATCATTCAAATTTCTGCCCTATCAACTTTCGATGGTAGGATAGTGGCCTACTGTTAGACCCCTTTTTGGCGGGTCTTTATCGAGACATGGTTTGGGCTCGATAGGGTGGCTTTTCGGGGCATGGGATGCGGCCAAAGTCATCATGGCAATGGCCAAGGCATAGTTATGCCGCGGCATTGCAACATTGCGAAGAACGGGCAAGGTGGAAGTTTGGCTAAGGCATGGGGACTTAGTCAAGACAAGGCAAGCTAGACCAAGTATGAGGGCAGAACGGTTGGCGTTGCGAGAAACCATGTTCGGTTCATGGGCGGCATGACATGGTCAAGGGAGACTATGGGTGTGCGGGTCCGGCATGTGATCCAAGTGTTGGTGAAGATCAGTGGCATGCGGGGCATGGCTTACGGGATGCGGAACAACAGCTTGGAGGCACAACAAAAGCAAGTGGCTCGAGGTGGCACGTGGGCGACTCAAGGGTAGTGCGTGGTGCGTGGCCAGGCTTGAGCCCGGGGCGTGGCTGTCCTTGGGCAGTCACGACATTTGGGAGCTTCGGTGGCAACAAGGGTTGGTTGGCCGGTTGACAAGTGGGACTTGGGCAAGCTGGGCGCAAGGCAACGAGAGTTGGTCACAAGCTCAAGGCAAAGAGTTGGCTCGTGGGTGGCCTGGGTTAGGCCGCGGCATGAGTGCAATCTCGAAGAGGCGTGTCGATTCGGTGCGGCATGACTCAAGTCTGGAAGGGCATGGCGGTTACACGCGAACAGGTGCCTTGGGGCGAACCGGTGGCAAGGCAGTTGAGGGCTTCGGGCGGACAAGTGCTTGGGCAGACCGGAAGGCCGCGGCATTGGGCGGTTGGTAACTGCCACACGCGAAGAGACGCGTCCCTTCAGGCTAGGCAGTTGGCTTGTAACTGCCAGACGTGGCTCGTCTATAAATATGCCGCGGCATAACTGCGAGTTTTGTAGTCTTAGCGAGAGACAGCAGTGTGGCCGAGTGTTTGCAAGTGTGTTAGACATTGTGAGCGTGTTGTATTAGTCCTAGTGTATTAATTGTGAATTAATAAAAGGTTGGTCGTTGACCGTAAAGTTGTGTGCCTTTATTCTAAGTGTGTGTTAAAGTGTTGCGTTCCTATTCCAATTAAGGGTTGCGCCGCGGCATTGGGTGGAAGGCTGACTGTCTTAAGGCGTTAAGGCAGGCCGTACAGGGTGAAAATTCGAGACGTGAATTTTACCGTGTAACAATTGGTATCAGAGCTGATGGCTGAAGATCGTGATTCGTCTGCCGGTGACCAAGGGGTGGAGACTGCGGAGGTGCTGGTTCGTGGGCTGATTGAGGAAGCGCTTAGGCCGGTGTGGGCGCGGCTTAGGGCACTTGAGGCCTCAAGGGCAGACCTGGTAAACGAACTGGAGGCACGCTCTGCCGAGAACGAAGCCACAAAGTCAGAACTTGTGATTTTGAAGAGGGCTCTTGCAGCGGGATTGGTTCCAAGCGCTGAAGTAGGCTCTTCAAAGATCAAAGTGCCGGAGCCGAAGACCTTTGGTGGTGACCGCAATGCCAAGGAGTTGGAGAACTTTCTGTGGGATATGGAAGAATACTTTAAAGCCGCAAAGGTGCCGGACGAAGAGAAGGTGAGGATTGCACCCATGTACTTGTCTGGTGATGCAAAGCTTTGGTGGCGGAGTAGAGTAAGGGACGACGCTAATACGGGAAGACACGGGCTGGAGTCATGGGATGGACTCAAGAAGGAGTTGAAGGCTCAATTCCTTCCCCACAATGTCTCCTGGATGGGCAGGGAAGCCCTGAAGAACTTGAAACACACCA